AACACAGGCACCAAGATTTCACTTAACAAGGGGTAGCGACATACATCTTTCATGCGTGAGACTGCCAAAGGTCACGTCAAGGAGTCATTGCAGCCTGACTCTCAGTCCACCGGTCAGCCTCGATACAAAACCGGACTAACCGCAAGGCTCCAACGAGCCTCAGTTGGCGACTTTCCGAGCCACGGCACTTGACACATCGTGATAGTCTTAGCCTGGGATCACACATGCAGCAGATGAGCCACATGGAGAGAGGAGCTGAAAAGCACCCTTCCCCCATCGTGTGAGGTGTCAGTGTTGCGGGAGTTTGGAGGGATGTATGCGTGATGCAGATGTTGGTGAAGGAATGTGTGATGATGTGGTCGTGTCTGCGGTGATTTACCGCTACTCTTCATGAAAGCCTACGCGACCTGGTAGGCCCTTGCGGTTGTTGAATGTGCGAGGGTAATGCGGGCAGTTGAAACGAGTACGTCTGGCGTATTTTGGTGCTCCAGGTACTGGTTCACCCGTCTCTGTGCGATGGATTCGCAAGTGACGGATCAGGCCGGTGTATGGGGTGAATGTGCGGCCGCAATAAGGACAGGTTGGGACCGAGTTCACATCGCTGGCGGTGGGGGGGTGGTTTATGAGTGTGTTGGTGGTTGGCGTGACGTCAGCCTTTCGATCGGTCATGGGGGTTGTGGTAGAGGTGGTTGTGTTCGTCATCGCGGTGATAGTTGTGGTTGCGGTGGTCGACGGCACTGCGGCACGGGGATTGGAATCAACGATAGCGACGGTGGATGTCGACGTTGAGGTGGCAGAAGGTGTGGTCGTAAAGGCAGCAACTATGGTCGACGGGCGGCTGTTGCATTGGGTCTGAAGATGACCGACGAGGCCGGCCCGCGAGCTGAATGCCCGCCAACAGCATGGGTGCGTTGGATGGGGTTGAGTGGTGATTTTGTGTATGGGATGCGCTTGAAACTTGCGAGCAGACATTTTGGCTTCGGCGGCGGCGGTATGGTTTGCCTCGTGGATGGCTGTGCCAGTCTTCTCCAGGCCGGTCTTTTCTGGGGGAGATCTCCACAGGACTTTGGATTGACATGCATTCGCTAAGGAGAATTCTTCAAAGGGACTTTGTAGCGTCGTTATTGTCCACCCGGTCGTCGAGCACCCGTGTCGACATCTCCTTAGAAGAGTTGTTTTGGTAGGCAAGCGTCGTCCATTCTCACCAGATGGCCGCTCCATTTCAGTCGCAGTTGCCTTTTCATGACGGGGATGCTATGGATTCGGGTCCGTTCCAGGACTTCCATGTCCGGGATCCTGTCCTACAATCTCAGCTTCAGCATTCTACGAAGGCAGCTGAGAGGGAGGTGGTTGAGCTTACTGGCATGCCTGGAGTTCGTGTCACCGCTCCGCGCAGGAGTGTCGTCAAGATGACGGCCTTGTACGCCTTTAATTTGGCGTTTGTTCGAAGGTTGTGGCAATTCCACACGGAGGCCTGCAGCTAATCGAAGGCATTGTCGACTTTGAAGAGCCGACGGGCAATCTCGTCCCCGAGAGTTGTACAGGGCGAGAGTTCACTTCCTTGATAGGCGAATTTGGCCACGATTTAGGGTTGGTTGCCGTCGACAGTGGTTCGAGGAGATTTATATGCAGCGTTCAGTGGCGGTTAATGCGTGACCACCGTTTTGTCCGTGTTGATAGTCAGTCCTGAGTGAGGGCAGCCGGGAGTGAAGAGATCCATGCTCCATTTCGTGTCATGTCCAGTCGTATTATTGTGTGCGGAGTCGCTAGCGAAGAACAGATTGTGGACCGTAGTCGTATGTAGTCGTGTTCGGGCGTACATGCGCAAATGACCCCGATTTTAACAAACAACAGCAGAATGATCTGACACGACCGAAGCCTCACCTAGGCGTGTCGTCCCACCTGACTCGGATCCCACGAGGTGGGAGTGCAATAAAGGTCACATAATGAAGGGAGCATTGCGACCTGTCTCTTTACCACCAACCGGCCACTCCACACGGACACAATGCTGAGCCGACTGCGAATTCCAAGTTATCCCCTCAATTGACAACCTTCCAAGCTACGGCTTTTAGCGCGCCGTGATAGCTTCAGGCGCTGCAGATTGTTTATAGTGAGTAAAATGCGCTGAGGCGTCGACCTCACTCTCCCTTTCCATCCCCAGAACCCAGTCACTGTCCGAGCCTGTCAG